AGGCAGCTGTTCCTGGAGGGCAGGGGGGTGCTTGACTAGCTTGGGGTACCAGTGCCAGCTGTTGTCGACTCCGACTCATGGTGATCCCATGTGTGTCAGAGTTTTCGATGGCTGGTTTTTCAAAGTAGATGGCCAGGCCTTTATTCTGAGGAGCCTCTAGGTGGACTCGAACTTCCAATCTTTTGGTTACCAGCCGAGCACGTTAACAGTTTGTGCCACCCAGAGACTCTGCCTGGGGGTACAGGAAGGAACCCCCAATTATAATAACTTACCTGTTCCTTAGCACCTCAAAGCCTGGCCTATTGCAATTCCTTCCTACGGGAGACCTTCTTGCTTTTGACCAAAGATATTTTAATGTTATGGTATCTGACACATAAAGATCTTATTTCAATTATATTTTCAGTATGTTTGTACCCTGAATTAGTTTAGTAATTATCAGTAATTGTTTTAATTCTTCCACCTATTTTGGAGCTTTCTGCCTTGAATTCAACCTCACCAGACGTCTATGCCTCAGCCCCCGCTTTCTGTGTGTTGGCTGCTAGTCTACACCACCTTTTTACTTTCATTTGGAACCCTTTGGAGTGTGGATAGTTGGGGTTCTGTTGTTTGTTTAAATCACTGTGAATGGCTCTTTCATTTAACAGGTACACTGATTTCATTTACAATTTTATTACCAGAGATGCACGTGCTTTGGCCGTTTAAACTTATTTTGTGTTTCTTTTATATGCTGCGTGTGGTTGGTTCCTTTCTGCCTTTTGACATACGGCCCTGTTTTCTTTTTCTTCCTAACTCTTGATTAATTTAGTGGAAACAATCTTATTTTAATTCTACCAACAGACATCTTTCTATCATGAAATATTTTCTGTAAACTTTTCTCAATTTGTTAAACAAAGATACAATTTCAGATGTTGCCCAGATGAAGGAAATTAGCTTGCTGACATGACCCGTTCCCTTCCCACCCGTCTCCTCTCCTGGATGTTTTCATGGGATATGGTTGTGAAATGATTGTCATTTTGACTTTACATAGCTTGTATTTCAAGAACTTAGCCATTATACTGTAATAGTCAAAATCATCACAGTTAAATTTAATTCTATTCACTTAGATTAGTTCTATGTTTAATTGGATTCAATTCTGTTCTTTTATACCTTATTTTTTTCCCCATTCATAAAAATTTCATGTTTTGGTTGGCTGGATTATATCTA